TTTTTTTTTTTTTTTTTTTTTTTTTATTATAAATTGTGTTATTATTATATATGATTTTAAAGAACAATAAATAAAACAAAACAAGACATAAAGCAACTAGTTATTAGATAACTAACAAGCAATTTAAATTTAAATAAATTAGGCGATTCCACGCAATAATAAATTAATTGTACTATATTTCAATGATTTAAGCCCAAAGATCGCACGGCTTTCGGCGCTTTAGACGGCGTATTGGCTCAGTTGTCGCTAGTAAATGCGCCTCAGCATTTATGTGACAACTAAGTCTATCTTGGTGTGATTTGGCTTTGGTATGAATTTCTTCCTGTACTGTTGTCACTCCAAGGTCACGGTGTAAGTCAGAATTTCTCACGTACCATGGCGCGTTTGTTACACTCCGTAGCATGAAATTTTGGAATCTTTGGATGATGGAAATTTGTGTTCTGCTTGCGCAACCCCATAGCTGTATTCCATATGTCCAGATTGGCTGGAGCATTTGTTTGTATAATACAAGTTTATTGAAAAGCGATAGTTTTGATTTTTTGCCGATTAACCATTTCAACGATTTGAATTTAAGATCTAATTCACTTCTTTTCTTTTTTATGTGCTCGCTCCATCTTAGTTTAGCGTCCAAAGTCATACCCAAGTATTTCGCAGTATTCGCGTGAGGGATTTGTGCTTCATCGATGTAGACAGGTATATGACTGATGCTTCGATTTGTGAAATTTACATGCACTGATTTTTCTTTATTCAGATTAATTTTCCATTTTTTTGTCCAAGCAATTATACTGTCCATACTATTTTGCAAATTATTAGCTGCTATTACTGCGCTTTCTCCAACTGCAAGGACTGCAGTATCATCAGCAAAAGTTGCTGTGAACGTTGTTGCACTCGTTGGCAAGTCGTGTGTATAAATCAGATATAAGAGGACCCAAGACACTACCTTGCGGAACTCCAGCGTTAATTTTATGCAGTTTACTATAGGTATCACCGTGCTTTACTCGAAAGTAACGATCAGATAAGTAAGAGGAGATTATGTCATAATACTCCGTTGGGAGAATATTTTTACTTTGGTAAGCAATCCGGAGTGCCAGACTTTATCGAAAGCCTGCGACACATCTAAAAACACAGCTGAGCAGATTTTTTTTTCCTCAAGAGCTTTTTCTATTACATTGGTAATCCTATGGACTTGATCTATGGTGGAGTGATTGCACCTAAAACCAAACTGATGTAAAGGTATTATGTTTTGACTTTCAATCAGAGGAAGGATTCTTTTCAGTAAGACTTTTTCAAATATTTTTGAAAGTACAGGCAGAAGTGCTATTGGTCTGTAACCACTTACGTCATTAATATCCTTTCCTGGCTTATGTACCATGATAATTTCAGATACTTTCCACAGGGATGGAAGGGTTCGCATTTGTATTATAGCGTTAAATATATTCGTAATTTTAACTAGGCATTTTGCAGGAATTTCTTTTAAAATTTCAGCACTTATCAATTCATAACCTGGGGTTTTTTTTAGCTTAAGTTCATTTTTAATAATCATCATTACCTCAAGCTCGGTGGTTGGTGGAATACATGATGAATGTGCTGTCCTAGGAGGGCAGATTACTGCATTGTTAACGTTTTCGTCTATGGAAAACACTTTTGACAGGTGTTTGGAAAAGACCTCCACTTTTTCCTCATCGCTTTTAGCCCATTGATTAGCGTGATTTTTAATTGGAGCTTTGTGTACTAAAGGTCGCTTAAGGTTTCGTGTGCATTTCCAGAGAGAATAGTTGGTAGCACGATCATTACTTAAGTTAGATAGGTAGTAGTTGAATTGATTATTTTTAAATTGCTTGATTTTTAGGCTGAGTTCTTTTGCAAGTCTGTTAAGAATGGCTTTGTCTGCTGGAAATCTGGATTGCTGCCACTTTTTCCGCATCTTTCTTTTTTCCCGCATAAGATCCACAATGACTTTTGGGTATTTATGAGGATAGGTTGCATTCCTTAATGTGGGCGTGCTGCACCATGCCGCATGTTGTAGTAAATTTGTAAGGTTCAAAATTTCGCTTTCAAGATCATTTTCTTCACAAATTTCTTTTGAAGCAATGGTGTTTTCATTAAGGATTCTTCTGAAGTAACTCCAATCTGTATATTTATTTTCAAGTTTTAGACATTTTTTATTTATTAAGGCAGATTCGAAGAGGGTTATGTAGAGAGGGGAATGGTCGGAGCTTAGTTCTACTCCATCTGTTATTTTTAAATTGTAGGACGAAATTTGCTTGGTTATAAGTGAGTTATCTATTGACTAATGAATATTCGCTAGATCATATGATTAAAAGTAAATAAATTTGTGCGTTTGTGTTAAAAATCATTAAATAACTAGGTAAATTTGAGGATTTATCAAATCAAATAAATTTGGATATGGTGAAATTAGTTTACTGATAAGACCAATCCTAATGTATGGGGCAGAGTCCTAGACTATGAAAAAATCTGACGAAAGCAAGTTAAACATCTTTGAACCCCGTATACTTGGTCCAGTAAGAAACTTCTATCGACTGAGAATTTGGTGAACCAACAATAAGCAAACGAGTCAAATTAAAGCAAATACAATAGGCTAATCATGTCCAAAGAATAAACATAGATAACCTAACAAATAAAAAATTTCAATCTGCAACCGGATGAAGAAGAAGAAGTCGAACAAGTTTACGTTAGATTGACAATGTTGAATAATCAGTGGAGTTGCTTGAAAGATGAAACTGGAGAACTGTAGCAAGTGAGAGAGATACAAAGAGGCAATTACAAAGAATGGCCAAGATTCAACTAGGATCGTTGCGCTATTAATTATAATGGTAATATTAGTTTCCTCATATGTTCATTACGAAAAAGTTGGGGATTTTATATAAGCGTTAAAAGTACTAGGCATAGTAAGTGGGATCTTGATAATCTAATCTATAGCTATACATTTACAATGCAAACACACAACCAAAAAAGTATTTTTAAGTGTATCCTACATTATCTTATTGTATATACTTATCTAACATTTATACTGATTTTAAATTATATATGTTAATGGAGATATATTAATAATCCAAAAACTTTTTGATATATTAAGATATTACTATTATGATTTGCTAACATTTAATATAATGGATCAAAAACTTAAAGAGCCTTATTCGAAAAACCTGGAAACAACTTGATAAGTGTAACTTAGAGAGATGTAGTATATATAGGAATATATATAGATTGTGCGTACAAAGCTACATAAAAGTAAGAGATAAGATAAGCAAGAGATTTATATAGTATATCTAAAAACAAAGGAAAATTATATTTAAGCAAGGTATGGATGCCTCATTCATTATTAATGGGTATATATGGTGCAAAAACAAATCGCATTATCACCTAAAAAATGGATCATTAACTTATATCATATACTAGTTTGGTATATATATATATTATATATATTTATACTGTTATATAATATAATATAACAGTATAAATAGTATTTAAAAAAATACTATTTATGTCTGCTTAATTGAAAAAAAAAATTTTCATATAAATTTTCATATTTTTGTACCTTTGCTTCTAACTGTTGAACAAGTTGATGGCTACGTTTGATTTCATCTTCTTGTTCCAATACAAGATTTCGCGTTTGGTCTAACATTTTTTTGAAGTTGCCAGCATCAAGGTTAAGTAATAAACGTGTAAGTTCGTCCGACATAGCTGACAACATGCCTTGCCGAAACTCAACAGCTTCACTGCATTCAGTACGTCCAGACGATGAAATTGTATTATCCATAGATTCCAGATCTAATGAAATGTCTGAGTTTAAGCCTATAGGAGAGAGCATATACATTATTTATAGATTATAGATTATTTAATTATAGAAATAAGAAATAGAAATTATTTTAGATAGAAATTAATTTTATATTAAAATTTTTTTACCTGAATCATCATCATGACTTATTTTTAGTGAATCAACTAAAGATTTTAATTGTATATATACTGAACGTGCTTCCACCCACATTTGACTGGGTTTTCCTTCGGAATAACTGGAATCATCTTCATCACATTCCATTTCAAATTGTAATGATTTTTTTCCATGTGCACTAGAGTTCGAATCCTTTAAAAATAATTAAGAAAAATATATATATTTTATAAGATTCAATTTAAATAAATAATCTATTAAGTTACTTACTGATCCAATTCTTTCACTAAGCACATTATTTTCACGCTGTGATCTTTCCAGAGCTTGCAAAGTTGTCTATAAATATTGGAAAATTTGTTAAAGTTAAATATATTTGCGTTTTGCTTATCATTTCAATTTAAATTATATATGCAAAAAATAAACATTAAATTTATATTAATATAAAGTTTTATTATATTAATGCAACATGAAGAGAAATATAATAAATCGGGTTCGGTACAAGACTGCTTTTGCTGTTCGTAGGGTAGGATTATCCATTGTTTTTTATAACTGCTTAGTTAAACAAATAATTGAAATATTATCTAGAGCTCCAAATTGAAAAAATCGGATTCTTGATCCGAATTTGATCATGAGGAAAAATTTTGTGTTTTATCAAGACGACGAAAACATGCACTTTCCGAGACCCGGGAAAAATAAAGAGGCTTAGCTGGAACACTTTGATGTATTCGTTATATAATTCTAATATTCTATCAACAGACAATCAATTATTCTTGTCTTTGTGGCGTTATTTTTGTGTTTAACTAAAAGGATGCGATTATTAAATGGATACTCGATTTAATCGAAAAATGTTAGAAGTAGTAGTTACTCAGGGTTCAAAAAAAAGCACAGTTTATTTAAAAACATGTCTAGACTATTTTTAAACATTCTATAATAAATTACTATATACATTTAATATATATTTAAAATACATGAAAATATGAATTAACTGTAGGGTATACCTCTAATTTTGTTTCTTGCTCACGAGCGTGTCGTTCCAGCATATGTATTCTATCAGAAGCCTCTTCAAGTGCAGATGTTAAGGACTCTTTTTCTTCTTGTGCTAATTGTAGTTGTCTTTCTAAGCCATGCCGTTTTTCTGTTGTGAGGTTTAGTTCGGTTTTTATAGTTTCTAAGCTATTCACATGTTCCTAAGATTAAAAAAAATTATATTAAATGTGCAATGATATAAAGTATTTTATCATTATCTTACTTGTAGACTTGTGTTTCTGTAACTGTACTGATCCTTAAGTTCCTGTATCTGTGACATTAGTTTCATTTCTGTGGCATGAGCTTCTTGAATTTGCTCGGTAAGCCGTGTGTTTTGGTGTGTTAATTCATCGATTAAAACTGTTTTTTCCTTTTCGGCTTGACGTATTGCATTATCCTAAAATAATTGTATGGTTTGATGTTATTTAATAAAAGCTTTATAAAATATTATTCTTAAATTAAACATGTAAAATTAAATTAATATTTAAATTACTTGCGCTTGTAGTTTATCCTTTAGTTCACTGAGATCTGATTGTAATTCCAGGACACGTTGATCACTTTCCTCTTCCGCTATGGCTAGTTTTTGGCGGAGTACATGTTTTTCTTGTTCCAATTTCTGAAAAAAAATTTAAATATTTTTAATTCGAATATTAAATTAAATAAAAATAAACAAATATATAATATTACTTTAATACTCATACGTATATAAGACGCTTACTAGCATAATAGATCATTTATAAGTCATAATAGATCCTTTATAAGAATACCATTTTATTTTTTTCTTAAACATATTTTCTTATATATTTAATAATTAAATTAAAAAAAAATGAATGAAAAGAAGTTGATATCTTAGATTTTTCAGGAAACTGCATTTATGCAGTGTTTTTTCTAGTTAGTAGAGAAGTTTTTTCTAGAATTTCCTCACTTTAACAAATTTTATTCAGAGTAGCTCCATATCAAGAGTCGTTCTTAATCATTTAGTAATATTTACTAATGTGGTCTGGTGGTTTAACCTAAGTTTAATATTACTACTCGTATGTATATTACTGTAATGTTTAGCAATTAGAAAATAATAAGGGGATCAGAAAACAATCTTTTGTGATATTTTGCTTTTGTTTCATGCAGGTAAAATTATTACTTTTTTTAACTTAAGAAATTCATAAAATGTTGAATTCACAAGAAGTGTTTTAAAAAATTTAAGAAAAAAAATTACAAAGTTTGCAGTGAACCATAGAATAGAAAAGGAATTTATGAATTAAATTAGATTCTCAGCCCCACGACCATATCATACTCTTTCTTCTCCAAGTTAACCCAAACAAATAAGTGCAAAAATTCTAAGTATAGCGGTGCCATATACACTAGTAAAGGTGATCATCCTTTATTAGCAATGCATGCTATATAAATCTGAACCTATTTCAGTCCTAGCTTCAAACATGAGACATCAAATTTAAAACATACAAAATATTTGTACCTCCGTTCTTAAGCAATATGGAAATTCAAGTTCACAGACTAAGAGCTTTCTGTATGAAAAGTACTTAGAAAATCTATGGCCCAAAGAATACATCTGTAGAATTCACTACAACCTCAAAGTAACACTGCCATAGACCTAGGAAACTTTCATTAATTTATTAAAAGAAGAACGAATAAGAATTAATCTGGTTTAACTATGTTATTTGAAAGACGGATGGCAGCATACCTAATTAGATTGTACAAGAAAAAGATTCTATGTTTGGACTTTTAATACATTTTTGCACAGTTTTGGTTTTATTGTTCCATTGTTTATATGGGGGTCTAACAATATCATATAAGTACTAAAGTCTACTCATTTTTAAGCGTTTCTTTTATATTATTGCTTTTAATTTTGAAATTGCCGTTTAGGTACCGACGATATCTACTCATATTTTTTTTAAATTAAAATATGTAACTCTGTGCACTTCCAAGGCGTCATAGGATGGTCATGTTCAGGAGACAAGATGTACACAACTGTGTCATTATTTTTAATCTTTATTCTGACACAAATAACAAAAGTGTGGTTCTATTAAAGATAGGACTTTCGTTATTAATTCTCCTTCTCCTAGTAAATGACACTAGTGCAGTTTTACTACAGACGATTTGCTTATTCGTAAAATAGTTTTTTTGCATGTCGGTTTACTATTATACATCACTAGGTTATCCGCGACTCCTTGAGTGAAAAAATCTAGATTATTTAATTCGTAAAGAACGTTTTCTTTTATTATAGTCTAGTGTCAAAAATTGAAAAGAGTACTTCCCTGTAGCATAGCTACTTATAGCTGTGATAGTTTCTAATAATCTTTCCAACTTAATATGGATAGCTCCACATATATTTTTATACTCTCTGATGTTCTAAATAAAATCCTATGAATTTTTCAAATTTCTGATTTATCAGATATGTATTTATCTGATTTTTTATTTATCTAGTTTCGTATTTATCTGATTTTGTAATTATCTAATTTTTTATTTATCTAATTTTGTATTTATGTGATTTTGTATTTATCTGATTTCTTATTTATCTAATTTTGTATTTATCTGCTTTTGTATTTATCTGATTTTTTATTTATCTGATTTTGTATTTTTCTGATTTTATCAGATATTCCAAAATGTAAACTTTGGTTAGCATTACTGAGTTAGTTATATAATCTCATTTTGATTTTTAGTGTGAAAGATTCTTATTCAGTTAAAAACAACAAGTTATTTAAATTAATTACTCATTTTATGCTGGTGTTTATCTAAAAAATTAATCTAGATAAATTTATCTATGTGAGTTTATTACTTTTATAAAACTGTCTTTTTCAAGGTAGGTTTATCAATTAGCAATTTATGACAGAAAGTAATAAATATTTTAACAGACATATATTTAATAGACATGCCGTAATAGAGTACCATTTACTGATATATATACGTATATATATTTATGATATGTATGTATTTAATAGCTGAAGATTAAATTGCAGATGAATTTGCAGTTAAATTGCCTTCTATTGTAGGCAGTAAAAATTCCATTCAAAGTTAATTGCATAGACAAAACAGAAACAATGCCATTTCGTTTACTATTATTACACAATCTGAAGAAAAAAAAAGTTTTACTCACATTTTATTTCAAAAATGGAATGTATCTATATAAATTTGAACAATTGCAGTGAAGGGTTTGAAACAATCACCTCAAATTTATTATTAACAGTATTAATTATGAAACCTTTATTGAGTTGGTTTTGGTATTTGAAATTATAAAGTTCAAGATATTTTTTTGTTTTTTAAATACTAGAATCTACAAAATCTACATTATAGTTATGCACTTGAAGAATAAACATAATCAACTGACTTGAATTATTTCAAAATTAAAATGTTATTCAATATATCTTAAATAAATTGACAAGAAACAATAAGGCTTTAAAATTCAACTTGTCACTTTTAATTAATTGCATACCGTGGCTTAAGAGGGGAAGGGTATTATGAGTATGAGTAATACAAATCAATTTGATTGAAAATACAATTTTTTGTATCTTTAAGGTTTCACCTCACATATTTCAATTGAAAAAATCTTAAAAAAAAACAGGTATTCAAATGGCAAATAAATTTGTCACGATAAATCCGGTAATTGCGGGTAATCGACAACAAGGTTATCAGAATTTTAAAAGTTATTATGTCGATGGTATATTAGAATGTTTGTATCGTAATAATCACATTTGTGAGAAATAATTGTCAAATACAAATGTATTTTATTATGATACTCTTAATATTTTGCAAAATCAAGTAAATCAAATCATAAATTTATATAATTGTTTTTAAAATTGTAATATTTAATATTCTTATTAATATCAATGTCATTATGTAAAATATGAATATAAAGCTCTAATAATTTAAAAATATTCTTAATATTTTAAAGTTTGAATTAAAAACAGTTCTAAATGAAAATTTTACAATTTCGATATATATTTCTTGAAGCTACCCTACTTAGCACTATGCACTCTCAGAATAATCTTTAGCCGCACGAGCCGGTACGCAGCTCTTAGATCAGTTATCGAATAATTACGAAGCTTTTGAGAAATACATAAATTAGACATTGAGAAGGGTGGGGTTCTGCAGAAACTCCCCAGCTATCAAAGAGTAAAAGTGCCCAGATGCACTAACTCGACTCAACATGAACATGAACAAACACATTGTATATAATTATAAATAAAGTTTTTAGCATAATAAACATATACTAGGTGGATTGATAAAAACTGAATTCAAAATAGGTTTTTACAGGATAACGCATCCGCTCACACATCAATGAAAACCGTGGCAAAATTAAATGAATTACGGTACGAATTGCTTGCGGACCCACCGTATTCTTCAGATATGGCTCCCAGTGAGTATTACCTGTTTCCAAACTTGAAAAAAGGGCTCCAGGGAAAGAGATTTGCATCAAATAATGAATTGAAATAGAAAACTGAGGTATATTTTGTAGGGCTTGATAATAAATATTATTTTAAAGGAATCCCAATGTTGAAAGATCGTTGGATTTGGTGTGTCGAGCTAAAAGAGGAATGCGGTTTTATTATTTAGGTCGGATATTTAACTATCCAAGTAGTATGTATATATATTTTTAATATTATTTACAATTATTTTAAATATTTTAAAGATATATGTATAATAATAGAAAAATAAAGAAAAATATCATAAAAAATGAAAATATGATTTATATATTTTGTTCTAACGTCGCAGTGGTTTATTTCACAAGTTATATATTGTAAATAGAAAATATATCATGACTTATAAGATCAATAATGTGAAAAGCATATTCGACAGTGTAATTTCATTTAGTGAGAGTGTAAGTTGGCAACGTCAATTTATCTAACTGTTGCAGGTGGTATTTGCATGGACAAGAATATTTAGAGATAAAATTTTTATTAAGTATTACCGGACTACTGAGATATTCGGATTACGGAAGTCATATATAAAATTCAGTAAAATCCAGGAAACTTCTTATATGTGTTTATATATTTATTTTAACAAAAGAAACTGAATAAAACTGAAACTCCACGCCCTTCACATATAAACCGAGCTCTTCCTAAATGAATACGACAATGCTTTTTGGTCTTTGATAAATTCTAAGCCTATATGCTCTTCTCTCTGTCTTTCAATACTGAAATGGGATCTTCCACAATCATTTCTAAGTGGTGGTTTTAGTCGGTTCTAGAATCACTTTCGATGCTTTCAAAAAAAAAAAACAAAAAAAAAACTATAAAAATAAAAACTAAATAATTCACTGTACTATAAATTATACCATAACTTAAATGACACATTCACATAATATATTAGGTGAAGCAAAAAGTACCCCCGTTTTTGGACACATTTTGGACACGTTTTTTATTTTCCGGGTAGGTTCAAAATTCCATCGATATAGAGCATGTATGTTTTATTGGCGAAAAATTTTGCTAAATAATTTTTAGCGGTTCTTAAGTCGGTCAATTTTAGAGAGTTTTGCAGTGACTGAAACAAATGGTAGTAAGATGGTGTTAGGTTCGGGCTATATAGTGGATACATCAAAACATCTTAATCAGAGGTCCGTCAACTTGTTTCGAGTCATCAAAGATGTGTATGGAATAGTATTGT